CATGCACAAAGAGTGACAAAATACTTTGTTGGAGAGCGTTTGCCTACAAACACATGCACAAAGAACGACAAAATACTTGGTTGGAGAGTGTTTGCTTACAAACACATGCACAAAGAGTGACAAAAAAATTTTTTGTTTGAGAGTGTTTTTTGCATACAGACACATGCACAAGGAGTGACGAAATGACTGAATGACAAGTGTTTGTTTTTTTGAAGTTTTTGAACATGTCCATAATACAGTATAATAAAAAAGAAAATAACATGTATACGTTTGCAAAATATTTCACTCATTTGGTGCACTTAGTCTACATATGTCTACATGTATAATTTAAACTCAAAATTTCTTACGTTTTCTGCAGATGCCATAGACTTTCATGAGTCAATCAAATTGGGTCACATAGTCAATCTGACAGGAAGAATAACATTCACCAGTGCTAGGTCAATGGAAGTTAAAGTCATTGTTGATGCTCAAGACCTCTTCAAAGGTATACATTTCTTTTTCGAAATCTTTCATGATCCAGTACTGAGCTTTTTTTTTTTTTGATGGGTCATTTGGTTTTCCTCCCTTTGCAAAAAATGAACTCATAAATTCCCATTTGATTTGGTGGACGTTGATTACTTAGGCATAGGCCCTTGGCTAGTGGCATCGAGACTGTATGATTTATGTCAAATATGATTACAGTATATGGCAAACATCAAGTTTACCAATTATTCACCAATTTCAAGTTTGTCTCCTGCCATTAATAATGACCTTTCTCTAAGCTATATTAATATATGGCTAGAATTTTGGAGAATAGCTGTAAACAAGAATTATTCAAATGAATAGTGATAATCATTATTTGCAGGTACTTGTTTTAGAGCGTGTAGTGCATTCTTCACTTATGTTTCACTTGATGCAAGTGGACGTCCTCAACCTGTTCCATCAGTTGTACTTCAAACAGAAGAAGATAAACAAAGGTTTGATGAAGGCAAGAAACGATACGAAGAAAGAAAAAAGAGGCGTCTCAGCCATTCTTGATTTTGCCCACAGTGGAAGGAGCTTAAAGTTTGTACCTACCTTCACCAGCTGTCCTCTGACTTTTAAACTTCCATGACCACACTTGCCCTTATCTTTAGCTGGTATAAAGGTCATGATAGTTCATGAAATTTTAAGACGAATCATTTTTTGTTGTTGTTGTTGTTGTTGAGCATTTTACATATATTTATGCATTTGTCCCAATATGTATCAATTTAAGAGAGTCATTATACAAATTTGTTCATGGGGGTGGTTAAGTTATTAATATAACTTTAAGCTTAAAGCATTGCAGTATACTTATACTGTACTTGCAGGGGTCGTGAAGCGGTCTTAATGGTATGCAAAATAGGTATTTGACACTAAATTGGGGGTAAAACCCTTTAAGAAATTTAAAGTCAATGAAAAATGATTTTTATTTATCTTAATATTATTTATAATTATGTAATAAGAAGTTATCTTAATTTTTCAATTTTCCATTATAATAATAATTATTAATAATTATAATTTCAATTAGATTATAACTATGATACAAATACAGTAGTAAGATATAATTTTCACAGGATTTTTACCATTAGCGGTGGTTATCCATTATTGGTTATCCATTATATCTGGTCAGTAATATCTGCAATAAACCTTTTAAACTCAACAATGAAAGTGTTGGTTAAATTCGACTACCTTCGTGCATGCCTGCCCATTAACATATCAAAAAGAATTTCAAATTACTTTGCTGACCTTGTTGCTGTTTACTGCCATGACGCACAGCTTTCGACAACGTTGACTTTGGCCTACGCGGCTGTCAAGAACGTGAGGGATGTTGCGAGCAGATGTTAAACTTGTGTTCACCGGGATTCATACGAATATTTCAGTATGCGTATAAAAAACACAAAACACCATGGAAAGTGTGCGTGTATGGTTTTTATTCACGAGTTGTGAAACATCAAAAAACTAACGAGCGAGTCTTCGAGCTACGACAGCAACAAATGTTACTTTCCCCGGACTTCTCTTTTCTTCTACATGCGCAAACCAATAGGAGCCAAACTTTTGTCGACGCATGTAAACGTTTTATTTGATTTTAAAACAGTGAAGGAAAAAAATTAAGGAAGGGAGAAAGAAAGGAAGAAATGGCTGATTTTTTTCACGCGCAAGATGATTGGTCTTATGGCCGTGATCTTGGCGTGGCCGTGTCCGCGCCGTGTTTACTACCGTGTTCACTACCGTGTTCCAAGTATTTGATTGGATGAGAGTAAATTCTCGTGCAATGTGATTTGTCTGGCGTATCCCTTGCTGTGTCACGACCGTATTCGTGCCGTGAACTTTTCACAGTCATACGAAAACTGCACTAAACTCCTTTTAAAATATTCGGTACGCGGGAGCGGAACTGCTTATCTATTCTCTGAATTTCTCAGGTGATATGTTGTGATGCCTTTTCGATTGATAATTTTAGAGCTAAGATATCCAGGTGTCTGGTTATGTAGAGCCTTAAAGACAAAAATACATTTATCAACAAAAGTTCAAGTTCAACGTTGCGTTGATGGTTTATTTTATTTTTCCAATTCAATGAATGAAAGACTTCATCTATACCGGCATCATAACCTGTGAAGATAATTATTCTTACAGCACGGTTTTGAGCTTTTTGTAGTTTTGAGAAAGGCCTTTTTAAAGTTTCTCCACACTACGCTGCAATAATTAAAGTCAGGTCGTACCAAGGCATTATATACGGTTGAGTGTTTGAACTTATGATTACACCGTACCCATGCAATTTTTTTTAGATATCGTATGAACATGATTTTCCCAAGTGAGGTTTTGGTCTATTTGCAAACCAAGTGATATTTCAGGACAGTGTTGTTCCCATTCGTGACGTCACATAGCAATCGATGGATCGCTTCGTGATTTTAGTTACGGTTGACGGTAAGACGCCATAAGCAGTTGAAAAATGGATCAAAATAAAGGCTAAGTTACAGATTGAAACTCTTTTAAAAGCTTAATCCTGTTTAGTAGTTTTATTGTCTGTGCAATCTGCTTTGTATTTTCATCCATCCATTTTTATTTATCACGGGACGGTAATTGAGGCTACCCACTCACGAAGTGATTTACAGAGGGTTCCTCTTATAAGATACACAAACAGAAAGGAAAAATATAAAAAAGAAATAGAAAAAAAAAAAAAAAGAAAAAAAAAAAAAAACTTAAAAAAAAAAAAAAAAAAAAAAAAAAAAAAAAATTAAACAGAGTTGGGTCATTATAATTGTAAATTTCAGGTCACCCATCCAGTTACGAATCTCACTCAAACTTGCTTGACTCAGTGTCTTGGAAGTCCAAGTTTTTTCCACTGTGCCACGATTTCAGGAAATTAGCACAACAATAGCACAACAATAGGCATGAAAACAATGCACCAGATAGACTAGATTATTTTCCACTTCAAATCAACGTGCCAGTGCGTGGCAGAGTGCAAGGGATTAGCTGTAGATATGGTCTGGGGGCCGGCTAGTCTCTCCCCTGATGCTTCGGCTAGAACACTATCCTGCGTAATCCGTACACCCAAGGGCAGAGGGACTTAATTGCCGTCATGTCCGAAGTCCATACGATGACCCAGCGGATGTCTCGGGGTATGGCATGAAGGCACT